GAAAAAAGTCAGAATTCTGACTTTTTTCCCATACTATACTAAAAAAAAAAAAAAAAAATCAGTTAATTTTTTTTTTTTTTCCAGTGGCCCTAATCCTCTTCCGTAAATTTCACCTCATACATATTATGACACAGTAATTAATAGTCCAGTTTAGGCTCTGTTCATTCATCCAGTCAAACTAAATGCTAAATGCTTCTATTAACAACAACTTAGGTGTAATGTACACATTCTTTTTCTCTAAACCATTGCACAAACATATTTATAATCATGTTTCTGATAAATATATAGAAAGGAAAAAAGAGTTGACAAAATATCTTCATATCTCTGTGTTTTGCCATAAAAATAATTAATTGACACTGTTCTAACACTTTCATGTTAAAAATGTTAAAAAAATCTTTCTGCATCAAAGATAAGTTTGTACAAATGGGTTTTTATCCCTCCATGAGCGGAGGGGTGTAAGTGTCCATATCCCCTCATGGGATCTTGTGTTACGTTACGTCCTGTGGGCACTCTGACCCAAGACTCACCCCATCAAGGCTCTGACCCTGCACTCGCTAAGGAATGTGACCTCAGAGAAGGTTGTCTTGTGTTAGAGAGATTTCGTTAGGCTTCTGCTGCTGCTGTCTATCAAACCGTGGAAGACATTGCTTTCTTGTTTCCTAATCAGAGATGACAGTAGTTTGTGGAGCTGCTAACCACTCAGGGGACGGTGGACGGTTTTTGTGTTTGGTTCATCAGAGCATCACTCGAAGCGAGAACCACCTGTCTGCAGGTGTTATAGATGCAGCTACAGTATTATTCAAAAGAAGTATTTAATTCATTAACAAATTATGTATTTCCTCGATTTAAGTTTGTTCATTTTGATGATTATTGCTTAATATTAAAACTGCCCCAAAAACATGCTTATTTTGAAAAAAAATATATCCTTTAAAATGAAAAAACATTAGACGCTCAATTTAGTTTCTCATTAGTTAAAGTTGGATGTTCCCGTTTTTATTCTTAGGTTCAAGAGTGACTGAATACAGAAATGCTAAAGTTGCAGCAAAGGCAGAGACAAATTATTTTAATTAATTAATACTTGAAAAAATTGTAAACAGATTTAGTCATAAATTGAGTGGAGTATAGATGCCTGCAGCTGAAGAAGCAGTCCTCTATGAGCAGTAATTATGGCAAAATTGTATAAAAAATAAAAACTGAAATAACATTTTACTTTACTAATCAAAAACCTTTCTTGTTTGTCAATTTGCTCTATCCAGAACTCCTCAAGTGGTAAAAAAGTTTTATTTTCAATTCAAATAGACTCTTCTTTAAAGGAACCTTTTGCTATCCGATTATTAATTGTTTAATTCATAAAATAAATAAAGGTTTAATTAATTAGCAAAATAATTGTTAGTTGCAACTTCTCTGATGTGAAAAGCAATCAATAGTGAATCCTTTTGTGTTGGTCTAATGTGTGTAACATTTTCTGAAAAATTATTATTTTTTTAGTGTTATTACTTGGAGCCAACGTTTGCAATGTTGTTCAAAGTTATTGTTGTATACCTATAGACATATTGGTGTCTTTAGGTTCAGTTCATTTTAATTTAGAAAGGCAAACTAAGCTTATTTAAAGGAAAAGGGCTCAGTACAGTGAATATTTTATGTTTTGTTTTAAATTCTGTGAAAATGAATCTAACTAATCTGTTTGACATTTACTTCTCAAAAGGAAAAGTGCAGGAACTCAACCTTCCAGTCTTCTCTTTGTGGAATGCGTCACATCCACTGGGTTTCCCAAAGCTCTTTCTTTAATGTAATTTCAACGATATGATGTAATGCATGGAAACGATGAGAGGCAGCCTTGTAGAGCTTGAACCCCAATTTATCCATGAAATATATATTCAAACTAACTATTTTAGCTCTCACATGTCAGCAGACCTGGACATCTGAAATATTTTGTGAAGAAATACGTTTTAATGACAAACCTTTAGATTTCCTCATGCTGTTCACCTATAGAGCCGTTCAGAAGCGCAGTCTCTAACCAAGACCCTTAACCCCATACTGCTCCCTGAACGCCCCACAATGGCAGCCCACTGCTCCCCAAGGGGATGGGTTAAATTAAAAGAAAAAAAAATTATTAGATGAGGAGGTAAATTTCTCCACTGTGTGATAAATAAAGTTAGCTTATTATGAAAGCTGAATAATAATTATGCCAAGCTGTAAATAGTTGAATAGCTTCCTATTTTCCTCCAAGACAGGAGTCAGGTGACATTGCTTCACATCCAGTATTTCGTCTCTGAGTTTTGCTGCCTTATTAATCTCCTTATTCTGCTTTGCTGAGCATCAACATAATAACTGAGCCATTGTCTCTGACAGGTATCTGCGTCAAATGTGGGAAGGGTGTGTACGGGGCCAGCCAGGCATGCCAAGCCATGGGGAACCTCTATCATACCAACTGTTTCACCTGCTGCTCATGTGGTGAGTAAAAAACAGCCAGTTCCAGGATAATAGACAAGCATTTAGGCCTGTCTTTTAAGGCCTGCATCATTGTGGTGATGCGTTGCAAATATATGCACACTTACACTTGAAGTCATCCTTTTTTTCTTCTAATTTTAGCCCCAAACTTTAATGTATTACTTACATTTTGATCTAAACGAGCAAAAAATTGTGCATAACTGTGAGGTAGAGATGCAGGATTTTAGGAAAAATATCCCAGTAGCCCAACAACCATAATACTTTATAATTACAGCGCAGCTAGAAAGTATTCACAGCGATATTTTATATAACCAACAACATTTTCTCCAAACAGTGTTAAATTAATCTCTTTATTTAAAGTCCCACCTGCATGTTTGTGTGTCTAGAATTTAGTGGAGATTAAGATGCATATTTTAGAAACATTTAGCACAAATAAGGGAGGCATTGTGAATATTTTTCCAGATCTAAATACGCACCCAGATGTCGTTCTGCTCTTGTTTCATGGTAAAAAATTTTTATATTATCTTACTTGGAAGACTTTTTACCTAGAGAGGTGATGGACTGTTATCACTATAAATTACTCAGCAGTAAGAAGTCTTAGTAAATTTCTTCATAAAGTCACAAAGGATTGATGTGCCTTACTCACAGGTTTGGGACTAGACACTCAATTAGTTTAATTATCATACTGTATTTGATATCCATTTCCCTTCTTTACCACAATGACATTTAGTGTGCCACAATAGATGTAGTACCGTAAATTTATATTCTCTAATGGGAAATCAGAAACCTGTGCAGCACACTGTTTGTGGTCGGTGCAGTTAAAGTGTTTTGCATGATCCCGTGGACGGCTTTAAGAAGCGCCGTTTACCGTATACTTGGTGCCAATGTTGCTGCTGTATTCTCCAAAAACACAGGAGGCAGTAAAGCTCAGAACTACTGGAAAGGTAGTAAGAAAGAGAACAAAAAAACTTCACAAGCACCAAAAAAACTGAAAACTTTTTTTTAAATTATCAGCTTAAGATTAAAACAATTAAGAGGGAGCCACCTTTTGGCCTCTTTGTAAAAGATACATTTTTTGGTTTCTAATGTGTAAGATCTAACTTTTTAAGCTACATCCATGTTTTTTCTACCTTCTTTACCTTTTTGTTAGTTCTTTTTTTTCTCTTCTTTTACTCTCTTCCTTCTGGTCCTGATGTAATTATTTCACTAGCTTGTGAAAAGTTTGCATGTCGTTCATTCTGAATGGAGCAATGTGCGCGTGGTCAGAGGTGCACAACCAGGCGGTGGGGCGATTACATCACAGTTGGCGCTTACAGCCTTGCGCCCTTTATTATTGCGACATGTAGTTTAGTATACCTATAGGGCAGGCTTCTATGTTGATGAAAATACATTTGCCCCACTGTGGAGGGAAAGGATTCATTTGATCTCCTTTTTTAAAAACATTTAGAAAGTAAAGTGTGAAAGTGTGGCGTTCGTTTAAATGAAGCCCCTCTTTTACCCTGTCCACTGTAACCTTTGGCCTGTGGAAGTCCCCTAGTTTGTAAAACAAATGTGGAATTTAATCTCAGTATGAATCCAGCTGAACATGAAAACCTATGTGGTTTTGTTAGAAAACATCAAACTGCATCCCTAATTCCAAGAAGTGAAGTCAGGGATAAAGTTGTGAAGACATTTCAAGGAAGGTTAACAAAATATCCCAAGTTTAGTATTTCATGTTCAGCAGAAGGCAGTGGATGAGGAAAGCCATTAGAAGTCTTGTCTGCAGTTTACCACAAGCCTTATAGAGGAAACCGCAAACATGTGGAAGAAGATTCTTTCTTTAAATAAGATCCAAACTGTTATTCTAACAGTGCACATCACACTGACATCATCATTTATGAGATGGTGGTGGCAGCATCATACTGCGGGGATGCTTTTCTTCATAAGCAATGGGGAAGATGGTCAGAATTGATATGAGAGGCTGCAAAACACTAGCCTGACGTAGTCCGACTCAATTCTAGTCAGAATGAGTCTGATGCTGCTCCATTGAGCTGTGATTATGGGGCGTGTTTCGAACGAACCAGGAAAAAAAATGCCTCTGCACTCAATTGGATAGATCTACAACCAATAAGAGCAACGGAGTGCGTGACGTATGTTAAGCGACGCATAGTTGTTGTCAACAAAAATCAAAGCGTGCAACTAAGAAGATGAGCCTTGATCGCGTTTTTCTGTTCCTCTTTTAAAAT